TGGAGTGACGATGATGGCAGTGTTTGACACATGCTTACTCTTACAGTGTGAGGACATGCATAATGCATGGGGCTTTAGCTCTGCTTCTCTGTTATCTGGAGTCTCACTCCTGGGCTCTTCCTGAGTGGGATGCCATATCAAATTCCTGGAGGCCCTGCTTCCTCAATACGAGCGTGTAAATCTTTGCAGGCAGCCTGCACGTGCACACACACACTCATGCACATGGCCCAGACCTGCTACTACACTGCTCTTGCCTCATTTAAGTTTTTCTATTGATAACAATTACCCAAGATTATGTTTATATATAGAAAATGTTCTCAGCTTGACATCTGCTGCAGATGCTCTGCACATTTCACTAAACCTATACTTACACCAAGTTAATCGTATTTATTCGCATTTTGTTTCTGAAAAGTAAGAAAACATATTTAAGATTCAAAGTGACATTGATGTGATAGTATGATGTGTTCTTCATCCCTGTGTAGCTCACACCATATCCATATTGTATGGAGGACTTGTTGTCATGAACTTAAAGTAATAGAATCAGCATCATCCTCTTGGTGGTGCCTTCTCAGGCTCATTTGCCTGTACACTCACATAATGTTTTATGGCTCCTTTGTGACTTAAACTCCTTTAATATGGACCTCTGACAGATATGGGCCAATAAGCACCTAAAATGAAGTCTCTGTTAACATTTTAGAGCACATGGGTTCACCGTCTGTGTATTTGGCAGCTAAGAATTATATTTGTGTTTTTGCCAATAGAGCAAGGCAGCAGGATATCATATTACTTTGGACTTAGTAAGTTTGTTAATTGGTTTGGTGAGGCATGAAATCCTAATTAGATGATTTCTTTGTTTTAAATTAGTCAAAAATGTGGTTGTTTTTTGTAACTGTAAATTCAGTGATAGTATTTTGAAAAGTCCAGCAACAACAACCCATTTAAATTCAAGGTGCCAAACTGTCTGCTCATATGGGATATTCATACTCCATCTCAGTGACAGCAGGAGAAATATAGTCGTGTAATTGGCGCTTGTCTCCAGCATCAGTCTGCCTTTGTCTGAAGCGTGTGGGTGGACAGCCACAAGCCAACAGCTTATTGTTATTTAGTGCACTTTCTGTTGGACTCCTGGCCTGGCTTCGCTCACACATTGCTTTTGGACACAGTGAGCTCACACACTGCGTCTACAGCTTGGGCCCCTGTCTGTATCACCTCTGTACAGTGGAAGAGTGCTCCTGGGGCTGGACCTGCATCAAAGAGCCGGAACAAGGAGCGGAAATGATTTGGCAATCTTTGAATGTCTCTTTGGGCTATCATCAAAGGAAACCTATGAAGATAGTGTGTTGTTTTGGAGTTTTTTCCCCTAACACAAAACTGACCATTATGAGATTCAGACTTTAATTGGCTTGTCATAAATAGGCCTACAATATTTGATTATATATTTTTTGTGAATGAAAATGAATCATAACATACATTTCTACTTTAGTAAACTATTAACATTACTTCTAGTTTGTTTACTTGAGTTATTTTACATTTATTTGAGATTTTGCAGCGCTGTCATTTACCCATTATGTTATTTTTGCCCAAGGAGGCCTGGTCACACTTTAACAATTGCTAAAAACCAACCGACTCCAAGACACACAAAGTACTGCAGAGGAATGCGTCTCGTATCACGGAGGCTTTCCTGGGCAGCCCAAGAAGTGTCATGTTATTTAATTACATACAGCTTTCTGGCCCTCTCTGTTTATAGGCCACCCGTATTGCAAATGTGTTATATTTCTACTTTTCAAGAAACAATATGGATACAAGCTTTTGTTTTCACAACTTTAATTAGTCTTTAATTAATATTGTCATCTCAAGAGCACCCCTCAAATTCATCTGGAAAATGTAGCCGACAGTGTTTGTAGAGGTTTTCAGGGCTCAGTTTCAAGACAAACCAAGGTGAGAGTTTGCGAGACAGGAGGAGGAGAGACCTGAAAACACAATGAAATAGATCCACGCCTCACTGGAAGCACTGCTAACATGACAAGACAACATCTGTTTTCCTAGGCCTCGCTTCTGTGGCTGCTGCTGAAATGATGTTTTATTAAGAAACTAATATTTCCTCTGCAGTGGCTGCTGATGGAGGGAGAGGTGTTGGATCACAGAAACCATATCCTTTAGCTGGGACTTACCTTGGTGATGGCCTTGTTTTTTGGCCTTATAGAAATTATGGAAAACTGAAACTAAGAGCCTTTCGGGGAATTCTGTGCAAGCTCGCCGGACAAAACACACTTCAGCCCACTATTATCTAATCTTGAATTGTAACATATACGTGCATACGATCCAGTTGCAGTAGGAATGAAGGACATAGTGACGACTAGCGCTCGTACAAATCCCCTGTGCTTGATTTCAGGGGTAGATGGCGTCGCTCTGCCACCTCACATTCTGGTTTCAGACATACAAAACCTGAAGGAGTCTCCTGGGCTGAGTGAACACCACATGAAGGCGCTCTTTGTCCTCTATGTCCGTGCTGCTCCAGTGCACCAGGGCTCTCGAACACTGCTGTAGAGGCCTGTAATGTGCAGTGTAACGCCTCTCCAGGTGTCAGCTCAAACGTGATGGTCACACAGTTGCATCTGCATGTTAAGATAGGTTTGAACCATCATAGTTTTACCTTTAATTTATTTGTGTTTGTTTCAATTGTTTGGATGTGGATTTTTTGTGTGAAATGTTGATGTATAGAAGCAAAATTATAATATTAAGATAGTACTCAACTAGTTGTAAAAACTGTCTGCTGTAGTTTGTTGTAGGGTTGACTGCACTAACCTGCCTCAGGCCAGATTGTTGTGTGTCACTCGGAATTGAGTTTTACACACTCAATTGTCGTAATGACTGTTTGAATCTGATTGGTCAAAATGTCACAACAAGCTCGAAAAATCTAACTTTTGTTACATCCAGTTTAGAGAAAAGCATGTACATCCTCCCTGAGCACAGATGTGCAGTGCTTTCTGTCTGCGTGTTTTTTACAAAATAGGCCATATTGACCTTAAAATAGGCTGATGCACGTCTGTCGGTGTTGCCATGTTTGTTTTGGTTCACTTGAGTGCTTCGCCTTTGGCTTTAGCACAAACCTCAATGCTGCTCTGTGATTGGTGCACCTGTTGGGCACTATCGCTGCAGCGGGGGCCAAGATCGATTCTCGTGAGTTTGTGGACTCACAATTAACTTGAGAATCCATCTTGCTGTGCAAGGTTAGGTTGCCACACCAACAATGGGAGTTGGTTCAACAGGTAAAATACCAGTATTCTCTCTTTAAAACACCTGTACACCTTGATTTAATATCAAGGATAGGATAGGATAAAAAAGTCACAGTTGGATATTCTTTTTCTTTTTCCCTATTTTCCCCAAATGTGTTGATAACAAGCATTAAATATTTGTAGTATAATATTAGTGGTAATATGAGTATTTTTTTTAAAAAGAAATTCCTCTAATTTACCATATATGCCCACACCCAATTCCATAAACATGAGTCTCCATATGCACACTGAATCATTCTTACCTGAGCTGTACTGCAGTGCTGCCAGTTTCACAGTGCTATAAAGATGTCAGTGTCAGGATTGGCCCCTGTGAGTCTGAGCTCTAATCCCTCTGTTGGCAGGGCCCT